TGTTGCGGGGCACAGGCTCTGGACGCGCAGGCTCAGCGGCCATGGCTCACGGGCCCAGCCGCTCCGCGGCACGTGAGGATCTTCCCGGACCGGGGCACGAACCCGCGTCCCCTGCATCGGCAGGTGGACTCTCAACCACTGCGCCACCAGGGAAGCCCCAAACGATCTTGATGTACCACTTTGGACACTGATGAAAGACAGGAGAAAAAGGTACAACTTTTATGAGATGAGTGGAAATCTGAACACTGGATATCTAATGATATCAAGAAAACTTAGGGCTTCCCTGGTGGTGCAGTGGTTAAGAATCCGCCTACCAATGCAGGGGACACGGGTTCAAGCCCTGGTCCAGGAAGATCCCACATGCCGCGGAGCAACTAAGCCGGTGTGCCACAACTACTGAGACTGCACTCTAGAGCCCACGAGCCACAACTCCTGAAGCCCGCACGCCTAGAGCCCGTGCTCTGCAACAGGAGAAGCCACCTAATGAGAAGCCTGCACACCACAATGAAGAGTAGCCCCCGCTCGCCGCAACTAGAGAAAAGCCGACACGCAGCAAGAAAGACCCAACGCAGCCAAAAAAAAATAAATGTTGCAGGAATTCCCTGGCTGTCCGGTGGTTAGGACTCTGCACTTTCACTGCCAAGGGCACGGGTTTGATCCCTAGTCAAGAAACTAAGATCCCACAAGCAAAACCAAAAAAAAAAGTTAATTTGGTTTTGGTATACTGGCATTGTGACTATTTTTTTAAAGTCCTTATTTTTAAGAAATATATACCGAAATATTTGTAGATAAAATGATAAAAATCACCATGTAGAACAACTCATATAGTATGATGCCATTTCCGTAAAGAAATATATATATCATGTTATTATATATAAATACTATACCTCTTCAATATATTTTATACATAGTATAAAATATGTAAGATATAATATTGTACATGTACATAACAGTTTATATTTTACATAGGAAAAATCTAAAGAATATATATCAAGTTGGTAATAGTTATCTCTGAAATTATGGAGAACTTTATAGGCTACATATCTCCAACAAAATTTTTATACAATATTTTTTGTAATCAGACAAAAAAATAAATTTTGGAGGGAAAAATAGAGGTGAGTGTGACATACCTTGAGCTTAGCCCTTGGGACTGAGGAGAGGGGCCCTGCCTGTCGTGGCCCACGGGAACAGTAGGTAGAGGGACAGGACCCTCACCAAGGAGGTCACCTTTGGTCCGAGGTCACACAGAGCCTGGGCTGCGGCTGGCTCTCAGTGCCCCTGCCCCGCACCAGCCCTGGTCATGGCCAAAGAGAGAACAGGACTCCTTCCACAAGGACTGAAGGTGAAGGTGGCGGGGCCCCCAGCATCCCCGCCACCCCGGGCTGAGCGTGGGAAGCCGCCTGCCCTCTTTCCCAGGAAGGGTTAGCTGCGCCATGGTCACCTCTTTGGTTTCCTCCAGGGTGTGGTAATGGAATGAGTCCCGGTCCAGGGAGCGCAGGAGGGATGCATGCAGGTGCCGGCTGGCCTCGATGAACTGCTGTGTCAGGCTCAGTTGCTGCTTCAGCACATCGTTGAGCGCGAAAACGGCCGGGCTGTATGCTGTCAGGGCTGCACCGGGTTCCGTGTCAGTCAGCAGCCCCCGGGGCCCCATCCCCCTGGCCAGACCCGCTCCCCGCAAGGGCCCTGCAGCCCCCAACCATGGACTGTGTCGGGATGCTCTCTGCAGGTGCTGCCACCTTCGGAAGCAGCAAAGGACTCGCCTATTCTGTGCCTCTCTCTACTCAGTAGTAAATGAACCCGCTCTCTTCGCTGACTTTGTGTGGATCTCACACTCTCAGCTCAGCTCCCAGGCAGAACCGGAAGCCTCACCTCGGCGTCCAACACAAGGAAAGAAGGCCAGTGACACGGCTCCCCAAACTGCAACCGCACAGTGCGAATCTAACACTCCTGAACTGTACACTTAAAAATGGGGAAGAGGGTAAATTTTACACTATGAATTTTTAAACACATAATTAAAATAACTTAAAATGCAATTAAAATATAATAATTAACTAAATAAAAGTACAATTAAAAATAACTGCAACCGGGGCTTCCCTGGTGGCGCAGTGGTTAAGAATCCGCCTGCCAATGCAGGGGACACGGGTTCGAGTCCTGGTCCGGGAAGATCCTACATGCCGCAGAGCAACAAAGCCCGTGCGCCACAACTACTGAGCCTGCGCTCTAGAGCCCGCAAGCCACAACTACTGAGCCCGCACGCCACAACTACTGAAGCCGGCGCGCCTAGAGCCCGTGCTCCGCAACGAGAAGCCACCGCAATGAGAAGCCCGCACACCGCGACAAAGAGTATCCCCCCGCTCAGCAACGAAGACCCACTGCAGCCAAAAAATAAAATTAAAATTAAAAAATAAAAAGTTTAAAAATTATAAAAAAATAACTGCAACTGTTAAAAATGATCATTATTAAGACTACACAGTAACATGGAAAAATTGTTGAGGTTAATACTGTGTTTAAAAACAGGAGATTTTTTTTAAGGATATAAATATTTCACATATTGCAACCAATATATTTTAATATCTTCATCTTCTAAAAATGTTAAGAAAATGGAAATGGGGGAAAAAAGGCAGGTTCTAGACGGATCCTTGCTTGTGTCATGAGAGTCATCAGCAGCCCCGCGGGACCTGACACAGACTGGGTTTCCCAAGGTGGCTGCTGGGCGTCTTCCTGTTGCCCGAGGCTGGGCTGGGCCTCCCCAGGGCCCCACGACTCTCCCACACTCAGCAAGGAGGCAAGTGTCACGTCCACAGGGCTGGGCCGCTCAGTACTGGCTGAGTGTCTTCCAGAGGAAAACACCTATGGATTCTGGACAGAGAGGCTCTGAGGGGAACACACAAAATAAAGATGGCCCTGTGGGGGTGGAAGGTTCATAGGTATGTTCCTGGTAGCCTTCCTGTTCTGTCCAACATGGGTGTCCTCGACCTAAGGGACCCACAAGGTGAGCTGGGCTGTTACCTTCTATGGCATCCGCACTGATGACGTGGCTGGCGATGGGTGAGGGGTCCACGTAGGCACCTCCCAGGGCTGGTCCGGTGGCCGCTACGCCGGCCGCTGTCCCAAGGACAAAGGGGGAGAGGTGAGTGGGCAGGATTCAGAGCAATGACTTTCTCATCAACAGGTGTGAGGCTGAAATAAGCTACATGAATCTGTCCTTTTCTCTTTCTGAATGTGATGGCCACCCTCCTTGCTTTTTTAACCGTTACCCCTTCTAAAAATTTCCCAAACCTGCCTCCATCTTTCTGGTAGGTTCTCCCTGTTCAATATACAAGTCAGGTGTGCTGGCTGAAGTGGTCACCACAGCTCAGCACGGCTGACAAATGTGGCATCGTGCCCTCCCCTGGCTCTGCCCTCCTTCCACAGCTATTTGAGGGCTTCGGAATGTTCCCTGGATTCTAACTGGCTGGCTGATTTATGCTGCCTTTTTTCTCCCTCCTTTCAAAGTCAGGCCGCATCTAGGAAATCAGCACCACCAATGTTTTATGAAAGCATCTCTTTATTTTTTATTTTTCACTTTTTTTTTTTAAACATCTTTATTGGAGTATAATTGCTTCACAATGGTGTGTTAGTTTCTGCTGTATAACAAAGTGAATCAGCTATACATATACATATATCCCCATATCCCCTCCCTCTTGCGTCTCCCTCCCACCCTCCCTATCCCACCCCTCTAGGTGGTCATAAAGCACCGAGCTGATCTCCCTGTGCTATGCGGCTGCTTCCCACTAGCTATCTATTTTACATTTGGTAGTGTATATATGTCCATGCCACTCTCTCACTTCGTCCCAGCTTACCCTTCCCCCCACCCTGTGTCCATCTCTTTAAATTGCAAAAACAGAAACAAAAATGGGCACATTTGCTGCCCACAGGCTAGGCTGTCAGAAAGGCAGCAGGAGGACCTGGAGAGGGACACAGAACCAGGGTTTAAAATCCCCTTGAACACCTTCTAGTGATCTGAGTTGGCTCGTCTGACTGACCTTCCTCCCTGAGAAACAGAACAGTCACGCCCCCAGCCAGGTGTGAGGTCCCAGCGGATGTATGACTAAGCCCCCAAATCCAAATGAACAAAGGGAGAACCGCACCCCAGCGCACAGTCTGGAAACAAGCTCTGTCCGTATTGCGGGTGTTGTCTAGACAAGAAAAGGGAGCAGGAGACTCGCTAAAAGAAAGCGACCTTTCCATCCGCAAGGGCCAAGACCAATGCTGGGGACACGAGAAACGATGAGCAGTGCCTGCTGCACCCCAGAAGAGAATCTACCGACAAACGTAGCGAGTTCAGACAACCAGCCGGATGGGCAACACAGCAGCCCTTGGAGCCCCCATGCTGGGGCCCCACAAAGTGCCTGAGGACATGCTGTCCCAGAAGGCGGTTCCTGTCACCCTGGGTAACACTGACATTTGGGGCGGGGTCACTCTCTGGCCAGGCCGTCCTGGCCACTGCAGGATGTTGAGCAGCACCCATGGCCTCCACCCATAGACTTCCCGTCGCCCAAACCTTGACGATGTCTGTCCCCTGGGGCCAGGATCACCCCAGCTGAGAACCACTGCCTTAGTCTTTGGTTTGAAACCTTTCAGTGTTTTAGAGCTTGGAAGACAGTGGGGAGTACCCAAGGAGCCCCCTCTTCTGTGGGAGAGGAAACAGGGTGCTGAGGTCCCCCCAGCTGACTAATGACAACAACCCAGACCTCCTGGCCCCAGGGTTCCTGCCTGTCGTTGCCTCTGGCCTGCCCCTCCCTCCTCCGACCAACATGCTTACCCTTAGCCCACTGGTAGGTGAAGGCGGGATCGAGGGTCTGCACAGCCATCTCCTTCACCATGACTCTTGTAACACCCCTGGCCCACTTTTTCCGAGACTTGGGAGTTGGTGGAGGAAAGTCTGTCTTCAGGCTTGCAGAAAATTCAGACCAAGTCGCCAGCGTCCTGTCAGGAGACTCCTCAGAATGGGGCATCGACTCAGATGCTGTTGGACTGGGGGATTTTTCAAAATCATCCGAATAAGCTGAGCTCACTGTGCTGGCCGTAGGTTCCTGAGACTTTGACCCCAGGCTAGAAGTGCCCTTGGGTCCAGGGGACGAGACGGACCGCTGGCTCAGGCACTCAGAAATCTTGCTTCCAGAGGGGGGCGCCCCAGCCCAGGGGCTTTTGCTGGATGCCTTTTCCCCCTGACCTTTCTAAAACAAAGGATGGCAGAGGTCACTGGAAAGTGTTTTCGAATGAACAAGCTCGGAATACAACTGCGTTAGGATGAGGGCACCCCAAGGGCCCAGGAGGTGAGGGTCCACGCTGTCCTTCCTAGATTTAGGCAGGCTGAGTAGCCTGGTGAGCAGAACTCTCTCTTTTTTTTTTTAAACATCTTTATTGGAGTATAATTGCTCTACAATGTTGTGCTAGTTTCTGCTGTATAACAAAGTGAATCAGCTATATGTATACATTTATTCCCATATCCCCTCCCTCATGTGTCTCCTTCCCACCCTCCCTATCCCACCCCTCTAGGTGGTCACAAAGCACCGAGCTGATCTCCCTGTGCTATGCAGCTGTTCCCACTAGGGATAAATGTAAAATAAATGTAATATCTATTTTACATTTGGTAGTGTATATGTCAAAGTTACTCCAGCTGACCCTTCCCCCTCCCCGTGTCCTCAAGTCCATTCTCTACGTCTGCGTCTTTATTCCTGTCATGCCCCTAGGTTCATCAGAACCTTTTTTTTTTGATTCCATATGTATGTGTTAGCATACGGTATTTGTTTTTCTTTCTGACTTACTTCACTCTGTAGGACAGACTCTACATCCACCCACCTCACTACAAATAACTCAATTTCATTTCTTTTTATAGCTGAGTAATATTCCATTGTATATATGTGACACATCTTCTTTATCCATTCATCTGTCGATGGACGCTTCCATGTCCTGGCTATTGTTAAAGACTGCTGCAATGAACACTGTGTACAGGGCTCTTTATGAATTATGGTTTTCTCAGGGTATATGCCCAGTAGTGGGATTGCTGGGTCATATGGTAGTTCTATTTTTAGTTTCTTAGGGAACCTCTCCATACTGTTCTCCACAGTGGCTGTATCAATTTACATTCCCACCAACAGTTCAAGAGGGCTCCCTTTTCTCCACACCCTCTCCAGCATTTATTGTTTGTAGATTTTTTGATGATGGCCATTCTGACTGGTGTGAGGTGATACCTCATTGTAGTTTTGATTTGCATTTCTCTAATGATTAGTGATGTTGGGCATCCTTTCATGTGTTTCTTGGCAATCTGTGTATCTTCACTGGAGAAATGTCTACTTAGGTCTTCTGCCCATTTTTGGATTGGGTTGTTTGTTTTTTTGATATTGAGCTGCATGAGCTGCTTGTATATTTTGGAAATTAATCCTTTGTCAGTTGCTTCGTTTGCAAATATTTTCTCCCATTCTGAGGGCTGTCTTTTCGTCTTGTTTATGGTTTCCTTTGCTGTGCAAAAGTCTTTAAGTTTCATTAGGTCCCATTTGTTTGTTTTTATTTCCATTTATCTAGGAGGTCGGTCAAAAAGGATCTTGCTGTGATTTATGTCATAGGGTGTTCTGTGTATGTTTTCCTCTAAGAGTTTTATAGTGTCTGGCCTTACATTTAGGTCTTTAATCCATTGTGAGTTCATTTTTGTGTATGGTGTTAAGAAGTGCTCTAATTTCATTCTTTTATATGTAGCTGTCCAGTTTTCCCAACACCACTTATTGAAGAGGCTGTCTTTTCTCCATTGTATATTCTTGCCTCCTTTATCAAAGATAAGGTGACCATATGTGTATGGGTTTATCTCTGGGCTGTCTGTTCCATTGATCTATATTCTGTTTTTGTGCTAATACCACACTGTCTTGATGACTGTAGCTTTGTAGTATAGTCTGAAGCCAGGGAGCCTGATTCTCCAGCTCCGTTTTTCTTTCTCAAGATTGCTTTGGCTTTTCGGGGTCTTTTGTGTTTCCATACAAATTGTGAAATTTTTTGTTCTAATTCTGTGGAAAATGCCATTGGTAGTTTGATAGGGATTGCACTGAATCTGTAGATTGCTTTGGGTAGTAGAGTCATTTTCACAATGTTGATTCTTCCATTCCAAGAACATGGTATATCTCTCCATCTGTTTGTATCATCTTTAATTTCTTTAATCAGTGTCTTATAGTTTTCTGCATACAGGTCTTTTGTCTCCTTAGGTAGGTTTATTCCTAGGTATTTTATTCTTTTTGTTGCAATGGTAAATGGGAGTGTTTCCTTAATTTCTCTTTCGGATTTTTCATCATTAGTATACAGGAATGCAAGATATTTCTGTACATTAATTTTGTATCCTGCTACTCTATCGAATTCATTGATTAGCTCTAGTAGTTTTCTGGTGGCATCTTGAGGATTCTCTATGTAACGTCTGCAAACAGTGACAGTTTTACTTCTTCTCTTCTGATTTGGATTCCTTTTATTTCTTTTTCTTCTCTGATTGCTGTGGCTAAAACTTTCAAAACTATGTTGAATAACAGTGGTGAGGGTGGACAGCCTTGTCTTCTTCCTGATCTTAGAGGAAATGGTTTCAGTTTTTCACCATTGAGAATGATGTTGGCTGTGGTTTTGTCATATATGGCCTATATTATGTTGAGGTAGGTTCCATCTATGCCTACTTTCTGGAGAGTTTTTATCATAAATGGGTGTTGAATTTTGTCAAATCTTTTTATGAATCTACTGAGATTATCATATGGCTTTTATCCTTCAATTTGTTAATATGGTGTATCACATTGATTGATTTGCATATACTGAAGAATCCTTGCATTCCTGAGATAAACACCACTTGATTGTGGTGTATGATCCTTTTAATGTGCTGTTGGATTCTGTTTGCTAGTATTTTGTTGAGGATTTTTGCATCTATGTTCATCAGTGATATTGGCCTGCAGTTTTCTTTTTTTGTGACACCTTTGTCTGGGTTTGGTATCAGGGTGATGGTGGCCTCATAGAATGAGTTTGGAAGTGTTCCTCCCTCTGCTATATTTTGGAAGAGTTTGAGAAGGATAGGTGTTAGCTCTTCTCTAAATGTTTGATAGAATTCACCTGTGAAGCCATCTGGTCCTGGGCTTTTGTTGTTGGAAGATTTTTAATCAGTCTCAATTTCAGTGCTTGTGATTGGTCTGTTTATATTTTCTATTTCTTCCTGGTTCAGTCTCGGAAGGTGGTACTTTTCTAACAACTTGTCCATTTCTTCCAGGTTGTCCATTTTATTGGCATAGAGTTGCTTGTAGTAATCTCTCATGATCCTTTGTATTTCTGCAGTGTCAGTTGTTACTTCTCCTTCTAATTCTGTTGACTTGAGTCTTCTCCCTTTTTTTTCTTGATCAGTCCGGCTAACGGTTTATCAATTTTATCTTCTCAAAGAACCAGCTATTCATTTTATTGATCTTTGCTATCGTTTCCTTCATTTCTTTTTCATTTATTTCTGATCTGAGCTTTATGATTTCTTTCCTTCTGCTAACTTTTGGGGATTTTTGTTCTTCTTTCTCTAATTGCTTTAGGTGTAAGGTTAGGTTGTTTATTTGAGATTTTTCTTGTTTCCTGAGGTAGGATTGTACTGCTATAAACTTCCCGCTTAGAACTGCTTTTTCTGCATCCCGTATGTTTTGTGTCATCGTGTCATTTATTTCTAGGTATTTTTTGATTTCCTCTTTGATTTCTTCAGTGATCTATTGGTTATTTAGTAACGTGTTGTTTAGCCTCCATGTGTTTGTATTTTTTACAGTTTTTTTCTTGTAATTGATATCTAGTCTCAAGGCGTTATGGTCGGAAAAGATACTTGACATGACTGCAATTTTCTTAAATTTACCAAGGCTTGATTTGTGACCCAAGATATGGTCTATCCTGGAGAATGTTCCATGAGCACTTGAGAAGAAAGTGTATTCTGTTGTTTTTGGATGGAATGTCCTATAAATATCAGTTAAGTCCATGTGTCATTTAAAGCTTGTGTTTCCTTATTTATTTTCATTTTGGATGATCTGTCCATTGGTGAAAATGGGGTGTTAAAGTCCCCTACTATGATTGTGTTACTGTCAATTTCCCTTTTTATGGCTGTTAGCATTTGCCTTATGTACTGAGGTGCTCCTGTGTTGGGTGCATAAACATTTACCACTGTTATATCTTCTTCTTGGATTGATCCCTTGACCATTATGTAGTGTCCTTCTTTGTCTCTTCTAATAGTCTTTATTTTAAAGTCTATTTTGTCTGATATGAGAATTGCTACTCCAACTTTCTTTTGATTTCCAGTTGCATGGAATATCTTTTTCCATCCCCTCACTTTCAGTCTATATGTGTCCCTAGGTCCGAAGTGGGTCTCTTGTAGACAGCATATATATGGGTCTTGTTTCTGTATCCATTCAGCGAGTCTATGTCTTTTGATTGGAACATTTAATCCATTTACATTTAAGGTAATTTCTATATGTATGTTCCTATTACCATTTTCTTAATTGTTCTGGGTTTGTTTTTGTAGGTCTTTTCCTTCTCTTGTGTTTCCGTGAGCAGAACTCTTGAAACCCTTCAGCACGAGGCTGCTGCACTTAGCACTGATGTTGTGAGCATGTGTAGCTGGCACGTGGGTGAAATCTGTTAAAGTGTCATTATTATGTATTATCAAAACATGCATTGATAATGAGGTGGTTACTAATATGGAAAGAATCACCATGGGGTGATGCAACAAGTACAGGTTAGTTGTGGGGAAGTTGAAGTGGGATTTGCTTTAATCTTCTGATATGTTAAGTAGCTCTATCCTGTTACTACCTAAATCAGGGTCTCTACCCATGGCACGCTGACATTTGAGACACGAACATTCTTTGCAGCAGGGGCCTTCCTATGCATTGTGGGACACTGGCACAGGACATCCCTGACCACTACCCACTGAATGCCAGAAGCACCCTGCACCCCAGTCATGACCACAGTGTTGCCAGACATTGCCAAGTGTCCCCTAGGGGAGCAATCGCCCCCAGGTGAGAACCACTGACCTAAATGAGGCATAATGGTTGCAAGCCATTCTACCCAAAGACCTAAAACGAAAAATCAGTTTTTTATACTTACTTTCTGTTCCAAGTCTGATTTCTCACTGACAGCTGGAGCCAGATCATCAAGGGATAAAATGTTTATTCTTAAATCTGTAACAAAAATGTAACACGCCGATATTTACTCCACATGCGTTTACCATCCTGTTGTAGGCACCGGGCTA